CAATAAAACCAGCATCCATCATCCCCCTGTGATCCAGGAAATCACCAAATTCCTCCATGGATAACAAAGAAGGAGATGCTCCTCCTAGTCTTTCAGCAGAAGATAAAATGGTATTAAAGTCACCAACTACCATCCAAGGAACATCAGGAGGAACATCAATATTCAACAAGTGTGACCATAAGGACCTTCTTATAAAAAGATCACAACTAGCATATACAACTGAAACCCAAATAATATGGGAATTCATAAGTGTTATTTCCACAGTCAAAACTTGAGCATGTTCAAATAAGACCCTTAGCTTGATTCTCTTATCCCATAATATCCAAATGTTCCTTTCTGCTAGAGCATTGGAACAAAAATGATCTAGACCAATACTCCTAGCAAAAGGATCCAATTTGGACACCAACAATTTAGGCTCTTGAATTGCAACAAGACAAACATCATGCAATTTAATAAGTTTCTTTAATCTCCTCATCTTGGCATCTTTACTTGCCCCTCTCATATTCCCTGATAGAAGATTAATCATAAGTTCATAGGAGAAGGAACATTACTGGAACTAAATCCATTACCATCCTCATTTTCATCAAAAGAACTCCCAGAATTATCAGAATCAACATTTACAATCTTCTGAGTTCTAGAGCTGGCCTGATCAGAATAGTAACCCTTATCTGGAGGTTCTCTCATTCTAACCAAACCAGACTGGTCATCTAAAGAATTTTGGCTTCCTTGCCTAGCAGCAAACCCATGTTCCCCAAGAAAGGAGGACCCCATTGATGGAGCATAAAGGTTTATACATTCTCCCAATACCTCCATATTATCCTAAACCAACATATTGTCATTGTTAATACCATCAAAATTAGAATCTATATTTTCCACTTCAGATGTTAGAATTCCTCCAATAATTTCAACATTAACCTCCTCATTATTCACAGGAGGTAATAAAGTAGGGGAGGAAAAGGAATTTACCTCCAAATTAGCACCCTCTGAAGATGTAATTATAGGAATTTGATTCCTAGATCTTGAACCATTAAGTAGTATTGGACTGTTCTCTTGTTGAATTCCCTCCATTCTGGTATCAGCTATGTCAGCATTTACCTCTCCTTGAATACCACATTCAGAATTTGCCTGAGGATTATCAAGAATTACAGTATCAATTCTAACAGCATCCCCCTGTACTTCAACAAATCCAGTACCCATTTCTTTAATAGAGGGAGATCCCTCATTATTAGCAACCTTGTCAGGTAATTTTTCCTGACCATTCTGATCCATTTCCTTCCCAATCTCCAGCTCTTCTACAACAATCTCCTCATTGAACACAGAGAAACTATTTCCCACAACAGTAGTTTGAGGCATAGGTTTCTGTCTATATTCCTTTCTAGACTGTACTTTCTGTCCTTCTATAGCAACAGCTTTTCCCTTTCTCTTCTTCCATTCCTCATTCTGTGGGAGATTATTCCCATCCTCCTGTTGCTTCTCAGAAATATCAACTTCCACTTTCTTCTTCCTTCTACACAACACTTCATCATGACCCTGCTTTAGACAAGCAGGACAATACCTGTATTCTTTCTCATACACTATCCTCTGCCATCTGCCACTAATGCCCCCCCATATCTAACCAGAATCTCTTAGGATTATTGACTAGAAGATTCATTTCAACACAGGCCCTGGCTACACCCGGCCTAGAGAGATTCAGAGTGGCATTATCTATCACCAGAATTCTGCCTATTGGACTTAATATATCTCTCAGACTCTCTCTGTTAAATAAATGGATTGGAAGACCAGGTAAGGACACTCATACAGGTACAATAGGTGGCTCGATCCCAGAATAAAACTCTGGAAACCATTTGAAAAACCTGAAAAGGTAACCCTCAATGTAGGTGGTATCCTTCAGCCACACTTTAACATAGTCCTCATAGAGAGAAAATCTGATCAGTACATGCCTCTGATCTAATACTCCTACAGAGAAATCTCCTTTCAGAAGCCACCTAGATTTGATAAATTATTTCACCACACCTAGAGAAGGTTTACCATAGGCACATTTACCAATAAGTGTTTGACAAAAACCTTTAGATAGTTCCAAAGTTTCAGTAGGGGACCAGTACATTCCAGGTTCGCCTTTATTAAAGACTACCCTCTTTGCAGGTTTGGAAGAGTTCATGGAATTTACAGAATCAAAAACAATATTAGAAGCAGGAACATGAAGACCAGAGAGATTTTGAGTATTCGAAATAACAACTGGGATCTGAATTTCTTTCTCAGGAGCAGAGATCTGAGATTTAGGCAGACTTAGATCCATCGAGGATTCATGAGATTCCAAAATGGATTGAGGAATTAAAGAAGGTTGAGGATTAATAATAAGTGTTTTTGTGTTTCGATCAATTGTAGAATCAATAGGAACTTGACTTCCTAACCCAGAAGAAGAACTATGAACATTTGTAGCAGTCGACACCGTCACAGGAAGAACATAGGCCAGTTGAACAGTCGGCTTGGTTTGATTCACTTTAGAAATAAGAGGCATAGAGATGGTGTTATTCCCTCACAAAGGATCAACAATTGTTAAGGAATTAAATTCTGAAGTAATAGGAATTGTTAGAGAAATGTCTTTCGGAACAGGTTTCTTAAACGAAGAAGCAAAGTTTTTGGGGATGTCTGGAGGTTTTGGGGCAATTTGATGATGTTCTTGGGCCAGATCCATGCTAAATCAATCAAAACCACTAAGATTTACAAAGAAAACCAATGAAATAATGAAGAATCAGTTAGGAACAAAGAAGATCTGAGAAAAAAAAAGAAAAGTTTTTAGAGAGAAGTCAGACCTTCTCTCTTTAGAATGAAATAACTGCCTCCCTCTCCTAAACCCTAAACCCCTAAACCCCTAAACCCTAAACCCTAAACCCTAAAACCCTAAACCCTAAACCCTAAACCCTTTTTTTTATTTAATTTTAAAAAAAAAAAATTTATTGAATAAAAGCAGAAATTACAAGAAACAAATAAGTCATTATTTTAAGCTAAAAACAGTGACTTATGAACATATAACAGCTAAAACAATACAAGGGNTATCCCATAATATCCAAATGTTCCTTTCTGCTAGAGCATTGGAACAAAAATGATCTAGACCAATACTCCTAGCAAAAGGATCCAATTTGGACACCAACAATTTAGGCTCTTGAATTGCAACAAGACAAACATCATGCAATTTAATAAGTTTCTTTAATCTCCTTCTCTTGGCATCTTTACCTACCCCTCTCATTTTCCATGATAGAAAATTAATCATAAATTCATAGGAGAAGGAACATCACTGGAACTAAATCCATTACCATCCTCATTTTCATCAAAAGAACTCCCAGAATTATCAGAATCAACATTTACAATCTTCTGAGTTCTAGAGCTGGCCTGATCAGAATAGTAACCCTTATCTGGAGGTTCTCTCATTCTAACCAAACCAGACTGGTCATCTAAAGAATTTTGGCTTCCTTGCCTAGCAGCAAACCCATGTTCCCCAAGAAAGGAGGACCCCATTGATGGAGCATAAAGGTTTATACATTCTCCCAATACCTCCATATTATCCTAAACCAACATATTGTCATTGTTAATACCATCAAAAGTAGAATCTATATTTTCCACTTCAGATGTTAGAATTCCTCCAATAATTTCAACATTAACCTCCTCATTATTCACAGGAGGTAATANTAGGAACAAAGAAGATCTGAGAAAAAAAAAGAAAAGTTTTTAGAGAGAAGTCAGACCTTCTCTCTTTAGAATGAAATAACTGCCTCCCTCTCCTAAACCCTAAACCCCTAAACCCCTANCTCTAAAGCTTTAGAATCAGAAAAGTTCTGATCTAATTCCATTTCAATTCCACTAGTCTTTTGTTCAAACTCTTTCAACTTTTCAAAAAGGTTACCAAAAACCTCTTTATTCCACATCCTCATATGAGTCTTCAGATATTTCATTTTGATGAACACATTTGACACTGNTATAGGAATTTGATTCCTAGATCTTGAACCATTAAGTAGTATTGGACTGTTCTCTTGTTGAATTCCCTCCATTCTGGTATCAGCTATGTCAGCATTTACCTCTCCTTGAATACCACATTCAGAATTTGCNATTTAATTTTAAAAAAAGAAAATTTTATTGAATAAAAGCAGAAATTACAAGAAACAAATAAGTCACTATTTTAAGCTAAAAACAGTGACTTATGAACATATAACAGCTAAAACAATACAAGGGTAAAATGGTAATTCAAAAAATAATCCCTTTGTAATGTCTTCTTTCCATCCAGCTGAAACATTCCTGAGAAAATGCCTTAAAACCACAGAAGAATCAGCAGCAAATGCAGCCCAGGGAGAGAACCAACACAGACTAGCCTAAGAAGAAGCCCAACAGTCTGCCAAAAATAATAAGGATCATCCCCTAAGAATAATCTGCAGCATTGGTCAGAATGCCAAACAGTCAGAAGGTTGTCCAGACCCTTCTACCAGAGCTAGTCCAGATACAGCTCTCATACATGCACTATTCATTAATAACCAGCTTTTCTGAAATGGCCAGATGCAGAGGAGACCAAACATCAAATATCACCTATAAAACTGTACTGAAACAGAATCCTTCTTAACATTTCAAGATGAAACGCAAAAGGGAACAGGATGACATCAGAAAACTTGATCATCCACACTCAAAAGCTCACAAAAGAAGTCCAGAAGATAGTCCAAGCAGATTGGAAAAGGTGCAACCAACAGAAACTGAAGAACTGCTGTTGATTCTAATAAATCATCTCAGAGGACTGCTAGAATCAACACAGATCCAACCAGCAGAAGAACCAAAATAGAATCCCTTTTAGAATGTTTCCTANGTGGGAGATTATTCCCATCCTCCTGCTGCTTCTCAGAAATATCAACTTCCACTTTCTTCTTCCTTCTACACAACACTTCATCATGTCCCTGCTTTAGACAAGCAGGACNACAACTTTCCAGCTTCTAGGCATTTCATACTGTATACACAGAAGCTTAACCAATACCTTCTCTTTGTTCACATATCAATCTCTTCAATCTGGCAGTGGGAAATCCATATAAATCTTGTTGCATTATAAGCCTCCCAATAGATGGCAGAATATTATTTGCAGAAAATTCAGTGCACTGTTCTGATTTAACAGCAAAGGAAGCTAAGAAGTCAGCCAGACCATTAGCTTCCCTATAAATGTGCTTGATTTGCAAATTCAGAAATTTAAACAACAGCTTAATCTTTTCTAACAAATATTGCATCTTCCATGGAACAGCAGCTAAACCTCTCACCATTTGAAATAAAGTATAAGAATCAGTTTCCACCATAATCTGAGATGTTNCTTCAGAAGCCACCTAGATTTGATAAATTATTTCACCACACCTAGAGAAGGTTTACCATAGGCACATTTACCAATAAGTGTTTGACAAAAACCTTTAGATAGTTCCAAAGTTTCAGTAGGGGACCAGTACATTCCAGGTTCGCCTTTATTAAAGACTACCCTCTTTGCAGGTTTGGAAGAGTTCATGGAATTTACAGAATCAAAAACAATATTAGAAGCAGGAACATGAAGACCAGAGAGATTTTGAGTATTCGAAATAACAACTGGGATCTGAATTTCTTTCTCAGGAGCAGAGATCTGAGATTTAGGCAGACTTCGATCCATCGAGGATTCATGAGATTCCAAAATGGATTGAGGAATTAAAGAAGGTTGAGGATTAATAACAATTCTCTGCGTGTTTCGATCAATTGTAGAATCAATAGGAACTTGATTTCCTAACCCAGAAGAAGAACTCTGAATATTTTTAGCAGTTGACACAGTCGCAGGAAGAACAGAGGCTAGTTGAACAGTCGGCTTGGTTTGATTCACTTGAGAAATAAGAGGCATAGAGATGGTATTATTCCCTCCCGAAGGATCAATAATTGTTAAGGAAATAAATTCTGAGGTAATAGGAATTGTTAGACAATTATCTTTCGGAACAAATTTCTTGAACAAGGAGGCAAAGTTTTTGGTGATGTCTGGAGGTTTTGGGGGGAATTGATGTTGTTCTTGGGCCAGATCCATGCTAGATCAATCAAAACCACTAAGATTTAAAAAGAAATCCAATGAAATAATGAAGAATTCGTGAGGAACAAAGAAGATCTGAGAAAAATATGATAAATTTTCTAGAGAGAAGTCAGACCTCCTCTCTCTAGAATGAAATTACTGCCTCCTCCTAAACCCTTTAAACCATAAAACCCTAAACCCTAAACCCTAAACCCTAAACCCTAAACCCTAAACCCAAAACCCAAACCCCAAACCCCAAACCCCAAAACACCCAAACCCCGAAACCCCGAAACCCCAAAACCCGACACCCAAAACCCCAAACCCCAAACCCCAAACCCCAAACCCTAAACCCTAAACCCCAAACCC